ATTTGGAAAGTCAAAGTAAGTAGAGTAGCCGAAACAATTTTGAAAAGGGATAAAGTAGAAGGAGTCCGTCTGTCTGATTTCAAGACACTACATAGTTATAGTAATCGAGACTGCGTGGTATTGGTGGAGAGACAGACATAGATGAAGAGAGAACCCAGAAATAGCCCCATCTAAGGACAACCAATTAATTTTTAACAAAGATGCAAAAGCAATTCGAAGGAGGAAGGATAGTCTTTTTAAGTAAAAAGTGCTGGAGCAACTGGCTATTCATAGTCAAAAACTGAATCGTCTACAGAAACTACTCAAAATAGATCACAGGCTAAATGTAAATTGTAAAACTATAAAACTTTAAAAAAAAAATATAGGTGGGGGTAGCACAAGGGAGATCTTTGTGGTGATAAACAGTTATGTATCTTGATCGTGGTGGTCATTACAGAAATCTACACAAGTGATAAAATTACATAGACTTACACACACATTGTATAAATATCAAATTACTGGTTTGGGTATCATACTATAATTTTATAAGATATAGCCATTGGGGAAACTGGGTGTAGAGTACATGGATCTTTCTATACTATATTTGCAACTTCCTGAGAATCTATAATTATTTCGGAATAAAAAGTCTATATGTATGAATGAATGAACGAGTAAATAAACAAATAAATAAAAATAAGTGGAGGTGAAATAAAGTCAATTTTAGATAAATAATAACAGAGAACATCTGTCACCGGCAGACCCGCACTATGAGAAATGCTTAAAAGAAATTCTTCAGGAAATAACACCAGATGGAACCTCAAATCTTATAGGAAGGAAGAATGTTGTAAATGGTAAATACATGGATCATAAAAGGCTACAGTTTTTTCTTCTCAGTTTATTTTAAAAACAAATGATTTTTTTAAAGCAAATATTGAGACACTAGATTGTGGGCTTTATAATATACATAGAAATAAAATATATTAAAACAATAACAGCAAGAACAGGTAAGTGTGGCTGTACTGTTGCAAGATTTCTACACTTTACATGAAATAGTACAAAATTAACTTTTGGTAGACTGTGGCAAGTTAAGGATGTAATCATGGAGCAAACACTGAAAATACAATGCAAAAAGGTGAATCTAAAAAAACCTATTGAATATAAATGAAAAAAATGCATTAAATAAAACACTAAAAAATATTCCATTAGCCCAAAAGGAAGCCAAGTTAGAACTTAGAGGGAAAAGTCCTAAACAAAATATAAGGAATTGCTATGTTTGCTAATATTAATGACTGAATTAAAATTATATGACATATGAGATAAACCTGCTTTCACTTTGTTTCCTTATATGGGAATCCCACAAACCCTGACTCCGGCAGACCCCTACTCAAAAGGTATTTAGATGGCACAGGGCTGTACTAGCCCATGTGAAAGGGTATATAAGTACATTCTGATCCCCGAATAGCAGGGCCTTGACATTCAGACAGGTCTCCAGATGAATCTACAACCAAAAATGTTATTAATGGCTGCCCAATAAATATTTGCTTAGTTGATTAATTAATGAACTAATTTCAGAATGACTGAGTAAAATCCAGTAAAGGAAATTTCCCAGATTAAAGGAGTGCTCCTCAGGCAAGATGTTACCAACATGCTGGACAGGGCAGTTCCTGCTGAGGGGGCTGTCTCACACACTGTAAGACACTCTTAGTAACACTGATTCCCATGCCCTGTATTTCAGTAGCACCCAAAGGCAATACATCATCCAAAAAAAAAAAAAAACCCCAAAAAACCCTCACACATTCACACATTTCCATGCTGCTTGGGGTAGGGGGTTGGGGGGTAAGGCAGTAATACTGGGAGTTAAGAACCAACATTCTAGTCAATGCATTTAGGGAAAAAAAAAAATGGACCATAACATACAGCAGGCCACAAGAGGAAAACAGTATGTTCTCCATGAAACCACATACAACTATTGTCTTAATCAACGGCCTCCAAAAGGAGTTTGCACATCCCAGGGGATGAAGCAAGACATCTGCTGGGGTATGGATAAATACAAATAACTTCTATTTATTTTTTATTTTATCTTTTAAAAAGAAAGAATGAAATTAAGTATTACTAGTATTTAATATGTGGATTGACAATTGTACATTTATATAATATACATCTATCAGGGGTGCACATGCAAACATTTTCTACTGATAGGGATGTGAGATCAAAGCAAGCTCAGAGACCTGTGGTTTTTGAGGGGCCTTTGGAACTGTTGCAGCCTCCTCAAAGGCTAAACAGCTGCGCGCTGTTTGTTTGGGGGCACTATACCTTCACAATGTGGGAATCCGATCTGTGACAAAATCTGTTTCAAGGTCAATTTGTTGCTCTTAAGCCCATGCAGTTGAAGCCATTTCTCAGATGAGATGAAATTCTGCTCAGCCAAGTCTGTTTTGGTGTTTCTCAGCCCCTCTTGCCTCTGTAGCTGCTGGTCAGAGATGGTAGAAGACGAGCTTGCTTTCTGCATCTCTGAATCAGGATTTAAGTCACAGGGACCTCCTGTAAGGGCAATTGCCAAACTCAGACTTCCTGAAATCTTGGAAATAATCTAACATCAACAGAGGATTGATTTAATATAAATTATAGAACACCCATGAAATGGAATTCCACTTAACAGGTCAAGTTATAATATAGATGTATATTTGTTGGCAAAGAAGATATCCACAGATATTTTTAAGAGGTATCCATAAAATTCAGAATCCATATGTGTGTACACATATACACAAAGAAAAACATATCCGACAACAGGTTTATAGTAGTTTTCTCTGTGTGGTGAAAGTATGTGTAGTGCCTTTTTTATAATGTTTAAATGTCTGCATTATATGAACATTTCTAATATAGGATTTATCTACATTTATAATCAGAAAGATACAAACCCCTTCCATTTTGGAAAATAAACACTCTCCCCAGAATCTTCACTATACACGTGTATTT